TATATATATATATATATATCAAAGTTACCAGGGCAATTTTCTTTTAACTCCCTTCAAGCTTGCTTAGTTCAGTTTCAGTTGTTTATTTTGTTGGCATTTAGAAAGTGATCATGTTCATTTCTGGAATATTGTTTGATATATTAATAAAAGGATGAAATTAGTCCTCAATTGGCAAACACACTGCTTTGAGGGCTTAATGAGGAGAAAAAACTAATCATGAAAACAGACTCACTGTCAATGCACTGCTTTACAAACACATGCACCCAAAACACTTCAGAAATGCTAATTCTTAACACATCATTTAACATTTTTAACACAACCATGAATCTGATTGACAAAGCTTTTTGTTCTTTCTTTCAAAGAGTTTTAAAAAGTTAATCTTAACATCTATAGTGCAGATAATAAGATTTCTGAGATCAAACAGCCTTTTGTCATTTGACCATCACTGATTTGTTTTGCTGCCAGTCAGTGAATTAACATAAACACCGACTCGTATTGGTTCTCGTCCTCATTATACTGTGCTGTGTGTCCTGTCTCTTTAAAAGATACATACCATATAAAAAGGACTTGTGGATGATTTTTTATTTTTTCTGTTTACCTTTGGGCTGCCTCTGCTCATGGAAGACAACAAGGTCCAGCGGATTGTTAAGATCCTCTGCTACCTTTGCCACATCGTGTCCCGTCAGCCGGTTGGCGCTGTAAATGGCTTCATCCTCTAAGTCTGTCCAGTATATTCGATCCTGTGTTAAAAGAGATGACTGTTAAAAAGAAAAGTACAGCAGGTTGTTCCATTCCTAAAACAGTTCTCAATGCATCTTGGGGGTCTCAGTTACTCAAAACATCCAAAAAAAATCTTCTTCTTCTTTAGGGTTTTCCAGTGAAAAATAAAATAAATAGATTCATGAGTCGCAAAATTGTATTTAATTTAGGAATTAGTAGTGTTGCACCAACACCGATTCCAGGATCGGGCAGGGCCCCGATACTGAACTAAAATGGTGGTATTGGTATTGGCGAGTACTGACAAAGAGGGCACCGATACCATTTTTAGAGCCAAAACTTTATTGAACTATTGTCACCCATTCCAGGTAGGTGATAAAAAGTTCTACTGGATTCACTTTGTATTAGTCTTTTTTCCTACTTCACAAAGGTAGGCTGCAGCTTGCCAAAGCCATGATGGCAATTATTATACACCCAAGTAGAATGCAATTCTTCATATATAGACACACATGAATTTCAAACAGATGGTATCGGCCGATACTGCACAGCCAGGTATCGGGTATCAGGCCCAAAAAATGTGCATCGGCGCAACACTAGTAATTACTGTTCATTTTAATGATTACTGCTTTTAACTGATGAAAGCCCCCTAAAAAAAAAAATAATAATCTATTTTGATGGCAGCAAATATTTTCTAATCCCAACAACAACTAACTGATCAACTTCATCTACACACAAATAAGCCATTTTATTGACTCTTATCAGTTAAAAATATTGCTCCGAAGTGTGAAGAGGTTATTCTGTTTTAAATGGTCTGACAAACATTTAAATCCATGCACTTTATACGTGATTATTTTTTAAAAGTTTTTCAGCTTTCAAAAACAGTTGTTACCTCAAACTATTTTATGATTATTGGCGTTTTAAAAATGATGTACACTTCAGTAATTTTGAGTAAAAACATATTTGAATATGAAATGTATAGTTATCAAAGATTTTTAGTTCCCCATTATTTACAGTTATTGCCTCTTTACCTTTCTGGCCTTAGCGTCTTACAGACACACATGTTATTCATTGGTCATTAGGTTCCTCAGTATTAACCACATTTTACAACATTTCTTTTGCCCATTGCAGCTTATTTAATGATTAGTCCTACTTTCCCAATTGTTCTTGTAAGTACCTGCTTGATTGACCTTTCTTGGATTCCTGCTGACCTTCTTTAAAGACCCTGCTAGGAAGAAGCTTAAGGTTTAAACTAGTGAAGACAGATTAAAGACCCTGTGCCCTTCTGTTATCTATTTGGATGAGGATTGTATTTCAGACCCCTGTATACAATATTGCAATTATTCGGCTTAATAGATTCCAATCTGTCATTTATTAGAACAGAAATGCATCAAGTAACAACTATACTTCTAGCCGTTCTATTAAGGCAATATTTAACAAATTCTCTAGGCAGAAAATGAGATGCAATTATAGCTGCAAAATCTGAGGTTTGTCTCTTTGAGGTGCTCCGTGTTTCCATCAGCTTAACACATCTACAGATTTAAGTTTTTAGCAATTCCTCTCCAAACATCTGTTAACTTAGATTAGTTGAAAAAAACAAAACAGGATTTGGATGATTTTTTTTTTAAGTATAACCACAGATTCTGAATAAGACATACAGTAGGTCTGTAGAATTTTAACATGGGACTGCTTAGACTTTAACTATTCAATTTCAATCCTTCTTATACATTTATGGTTACTGCCCTGCTGGTCAAACAAAAAAGTAAAATGTTTGTCTCACTTGACTAACTATGCCTGCTTTATGTCTTATAATTGCCAAACTTAAATGGGATGTTTTATGTCTGTTCTTGTTTTTCTGCTATTCTATTACAAGTAACAGATTTGTTGAATCTCTAACTAGGAGTAGTCCTGTTAAGGAATTATCTCACTAAATCTTTAAAACCTCTCCAGTTATTCTAAACCTCTTTTGTAAAAACCCACAAAACAAAACAAAAATCTAAGACCTTAGTAGAACTGCTAGTTTGAGATTAGATAGCAGGAAATTGGATTTACCCTATTTAATTAGAGGACCTCTGAACTCAATTGTTTTTTTGTTTTTTTTTTCACCTTTTGTCTTGTCCTAATCAAAACCACTGGTGTATTGCGTTGGAAATATATCTAATGGACAAACACAAAGTAACAGGGAATTGCAAAGTGGGGAAAAAAGAAACACTTAATAAATAAATAACCGACAAACAGAAAAAATAAAACAAAAAATGCCATAGCATATCCAGCTCCTTCACTGTGATACATTTAAAGCAATATTTGATTGGGACAAGACAAAAGGTGAAAAAAAAAAAAAAAAACAACAAAACAAAACATAAAAAGGTTCATGCTTTCAAAATGGTAGACTGCATTTTTTATGCTCGATGAATGAAAAAACCCTGCAATAGACTGGCAACCTATGCAGGGTGCACCCATTGGCCATAGACAGCCTGAAACCCTAAAGGATAAATGGAAGAAAATGGATGGATTATTAGGCACATTAATGTTTAGCCTAGACTAAAAAGGCAACGCCGTGACATGTGAGGTGAAGGCAAAGATTTCCTTTTTCTGTAATAACTTTAAATAATTTATCAGAAACCTCTAAAAGAAAAACATTAAAGCATTAACAAACAAGGGAGATGCATCTAAAAACTGTTCTGCCATTTTTTCAGAAAAAAATATATAAATGGTGCAAGACCAGAACAACAAAGTCAAGTAAAAGCACCAAAAAGAAAGCTTTTAAACAGCATGTATAGAAATTTAAAACGGTGCACATGGGAGAGAGAAAACAGCTACAAAAATAAGCTATCCGTTTTTTCCTGATAGCTGAGAAGAGGAACAGCAGGGGTTCAGCAAAGATTGGTGAGGTGTGTCAAAGTGTATCCTTGTTTGCGTTTCAAACACAGCGGATTTCTCTTCTTTTTGTTTGTGCTGGATTATCAGTAGATTTAACCTTTTCTCCACCATTCCCTTTTTGATCTCTGCACAAGCTTTGCTTGACTCAATCTTCTGCACTTGGATAGAGATAACCTTTACTCTTATGACATTGATGCTGAAACAATGAAAGATAAATATCAGCAATGCTGATAAAACCATTCTCAGATATTTTATTCCATCTCTAATCTCATCTCTTACTCTCTATGGATACCTTTCACAAACTGTCAGCCTCAACCTTTATTCTTTATCAGATTCTCTTCCATCAGTCATTTCAAATGTCATTTTTCTGACCTTGAGGCCTTCAAGTAGCATGTAGTATGCAGTAGTATGCAAGCCAGATGAGTGTGGTTTTGAATTGTATGATCAAGGTGACTCTTTCATTTGTCGAACTTATACCCGAATGTGCAAAGGCGACTCTCCTGAGCAAATGTTGTTGCATCACATCAAAGCCCTGGCTCCTACTTCACATATGAAATGATTAATAGAAAACAGGCTTCTGTCTCAGAAATCACATTTTGACTTAAACAAATACAGTGGACTAATAGTCAATAAGCCTAAAATGTAGTTTAAGCCAGACTTAAAGAGGCTCATTATGAGAGATTTGTCCACACTGTAAAATTCAACTGGTTATAACCCTATCTGTAGTGTTAAAGTGGCAAAATATGGTAGTAGCTCACTCCAAGAGAATACAAAGTTGTTCTTTAAAATAACTTCTGTCCTGCTGGTGTATCACTTGTTATTTATGCACTTTATACTTTGTTTTCCATCAATTTGTTATTTAATAAAGCCTTTTGTTTATGTTTACCATAACAACATGGTGTGTAACGTTGTGCATAGACGTAATTGGTAAGCAACGCAAAGCAACGGAGACAGGCGAGTGTGAAACTCCCAGTGGAGTTGTGAAAATAATGAAGAAATATAAAATATGTATGCAAAAACAAAAAAAAAAAAAAAAAAAAAATGGATTCCAAGAAGCATAAAAATCGCACAGCACTCGAAATATAGTATGGATGTTTTTGTTTACTGCAGAGGGAGCTAAAGCTGTGGATGTGAATACACATCCTTACTAATACCGATACCAGTCTAAGAAATGCTATGTTAACATTCCATTCTAATTAAAAATGCTAGACACCACAGAAGGATGGAGGGACGGATGGAGGGACAGGCGGAAAAGGGTTAGATTCCCGGCCTGGGGTCTTTCAGGGCCTTTGCATGTTCTCGCTGAGCATCCGTGGGTTCTTTCCAGGTACTCTGGCTTTCTCCCGCAGTCCACAGTCAAAAACATGACTGTTAGGTTAATTGGATTCTCTAAATTCTCCTTAGGTGTGAGTGTGTGTGTAAATGGTTGTTTGTCCTGTTTGTCTCTGTGTTGCCCTGCGATAGACTGGCGACCTGTCCAGGTTGTACCCCACCTCTCGCCCGTAGACAGCTGGAGATAGGCACCAGCACCCCTCGCAACGCCACTTGGGATTAAGCGTGTCAGAAAATGGATGGATAGATAGAATACATTAAGGCACAAATTGGGACAGACATTTGTTATAGATAATTTCATCTTACAAACATTACTTTTTGGTCCTTTTTTGTATAGACATGAGACTATATAACTTTAGATGCCTATTCTGTCAACAATTACCCCTTTTATTTGTTCTGTTGTACTTAATAGATTAAGATGCATAACAAAAACTGAAATTAGCTACTTATTTGGGGCCTATACTTCATCAAAACCTTTATTTTCCTTTTAACATTTCCAAATAGGCAAACTTCTCTGCTTACGAGCAAAAAAAAATTACCTTTTTAAGCCTCTGACCTCTACTTCCCTGCAACAGGTGGGGGAAGGAGGAACTGCTTTATTCTCAGCTTCTTACAGCCAGCAACAATTCTGGCATCTTATTTAAGACTTCAAACCCCAAGAGTCGCATTAGATGTAAGCCTATGCCAAATATACCATACTGATAAAGCCTGGTTAAAATCATATATTCTTGTCTAAAGCTGTGGGCACATACTCCATCTTTCCTAACACATCAAATTTCATTATCTTTTTATTTCAAGAACCCATTTCATTCTCTCTTTCTTCCATGCCCACAAGCAAAACAGAAATGGGTGAAAAAGAACTGCAATAATAGTCGACCAAAAGGAATAGACAACATTACTCAGAGAAAGCCTTCACAATCAATGTTTCCTCAGGAGCCGCAATAAAGCCAAGGGGTGGACACTGTCTGTGCAGATTTGTGTGTTTGTGTATCTTTCTCTGTGAACTGGAATGATGTAGAGTACTAATACTTTTACAAAACTATTCTCTGTTTGTCCTTTTTAATATTTGGTCAGAAGCCACTTTATGAAAGGTTACATTATTTACATGGCTCTATACTAATTAATATAAAAAGTCATGAACAATATAACCTTTATAACAATTAATAACAGACTTTTTCATTTGCTCACATTAAAAATTAACAACTGCAATAATGCTTTATTTAAATATTTAATAATATTCATTTGTAGCAGTAATAAAATGTTAAACTTATATGTAACGTTATTTATGATTTTCCATAGAATTTAAGTTATAATGCAGAGTTTATCCACTTGGTTTTATAAATGTCATATTTGTGTCAATAACAATGCAACTGATTAGTGAAACTCAATTCAAAATGTCATCTTTCCCATTTGCATTTAAACTAGGATCTTTTCTCTTAATGCCACATTTAGCAAGTCAAATACCACATCACCACTGCAGGACCATGAGTTTTTGGCTTTAAATGTGTCTTGTTTGGAGTACCACATTTTGAATCAGCAATTTAGATAACTTTTTTTAACAGAGTAACTAACTTCAGACTAGTTCATTTATTTATTTTTTTTAAGCCCTGACAAAAAATTATTGTCCTCCCAGCATCTATATTGTACTAGTTTTAGATAGGCACAGGCTAACAGGTTTACAAGATAATACATAAAGGTTATTTTCTTTCATCATGACAAATTTGCATATATGTGATTCAGTTGTTAGGTTAGCTGTGTCATTTTAGTAGTCTGCAGGTGCTCTTCTTTGTCCTCCAGCTTTATGAATACTCTAATATGTTGTTTGTTCAGCAAAATCTTCATCGTAACCAGAGATATATTAACTGAATTACATTTTTTTTTCTTTCTTTTTTTTGTTTTTTTAGCTTCATACATACTGCTCTACAGAAACAAATGTCTCATGATCAAGTTAGTGGGAGCAGAACAACTTCCTTTATGGATAAAGGATTTTTAATTTGTTCTGTATCACAACCCATACAGAACACAGAGCTGAACAACTGAGGGCTATTAATCTCAGAGGGTGAACTTTCACTGCAATCTAAAACACAGGTTCTTCTCACACTTACACACATAGCACAACATTCATACACATCCTCTGAACCAGACATGATGGATGTCCTCCCTTTTCCTCGGCTTCTCATCATCACAGCATGTGCAGCACAGAGAAGAATGGAGAAAACACTTCTAACATTTTGTCTCTTCTCTGTTTCACCTTCAACCTCTCATTTCTGTCTTTGGGTTGTTCGACCACACATCGATCTTTGCCAAATGAAATTAGAGTAGCTTATATTCATCAGAATAAAAACAACATATTAGTTTTATTGATTTCTAAACTCACTTCGACTTTGCACTCATTATGGAGCGAATTAACAGTTTCTTTTTAGCTAATTCTAGTTTAAATTACTTTACTCTTCCAGCAGCTCTAGTTTGAAAGACCCAGAAAATGATGGTGACATGAAAGGAATTAGATTAAAAATTTTTCTATAGTATGTTTCTTTTTGCTTTATTTTATAAACAAAATCCTGCATAAAAAATGTTTATCATACCCATTAAAAAAATAAATTGTTTCTAAAGATAAAAATATGGTTTATTTAATGATCATGTCTCATGTTTTTTTTTTATCAATTTTAGTGAGGTCTACCATGTAGAGTTTTTTGGATTATGTAGTGGATAAACTTAAAATACATATATTCATAGAACTACACCTGCTCAGCCCAGTAAATATGACTAAAAATCCTAAAAACATGAATCCATCTTTTATGCAGCATAATTTTCTGTGAAAAATAATTGAAGACTAAGTTCAGTAAAGAGAAAGGTCTTTGATAAAAAAAATAGCTGAAGCACTTGCTTCATATATATTCACACCCAACAATATCTACAGTATAAACACACACTGCTATGAGAACTATCTGCCCATTTCGATATTTTTTTTGCATTTGCGTTTTTTTTTTATGTTTCAGAACATCAATCAAATGGTATTTCCTGAAGACGATATAATGAACAAATACAAAAAGTTTTTACTTTTTTTCAAATTATTTCAGTTCTTAAGGGATAAAATTATATTTTAGACTCTATAACTGTGTGTGTCTTTCTCCCCTAAAGTCCGAAGGAACATAACTAGAGTCCAAGGCATCACAGATTTTATCAAATACCAGAAGATCAAACAATTGTCCTCCATCACACAAATTGGCAATGGTATATCGGTAATCTAAATAGCCAAACAAAGACACAATCTTTCAACAAATCAACCTTCAATAAAGATAATATGGCATAAAAGGTACAGTATAGCCAATCAGCGAGGCGAGTGGAATGTAACAGTAAAGAAGAGAGGATACAGGAGTCTTTAGGTTTAGAAACATTGTACAAAAATGATTTATTCTGTATGATCCTGGAAAATAAAGGGAATCAAAAATGCTCTGATCAAAATCTCTGCTGATTTTGAAGCCAAATGTATGTGGCTGAGGAAACGAAACCAAAGCAATAATCTTCCACTGACTGGTTTGTGAAAATTCAGACCAACTTCTTCTTGTACCTCAAACACAGTGAGGGCGAATGGGTGCCCAAGGTGGTGATGGGAGGACAGCAGCACTTTGCGGTTGTCTCCATTCAGATCCACACTTGACAGTAGGTGTAGCTTGGAGTCCACCCAGTAGAGACGTCTGTTGGACAAATCTGACAAGATGCAGAAAGAGATTAAGAGAGGGGCAAAAGTAGAAGTAAGGAATAAGGGAGGAAGAGAGAGGAAAAAGGTCATTTAGCAGAGAAAGGTGCAGGGTGAGAGGTATATAAATGTAATGGCTCACTAGCTGCACCATCAATCTTCTCTGACATGACAGCTGAGGCCCGATGCAGAAAAAACACAGATGCGATTTAAATATAACAGCTGGAGGGGTGGAGAGTGGGGGATACTTGCCCTTGAGCAAATTCATTAGTCTTGCAGATCTTTTCTGGCATTTTAGTTTAGTTTCAGTAATTCTCCAAGTTACAGGATCATGAGCACAGCCCCAGCAGGCCTCCTTTGCTCTTTCTTTTGACATTAAAGTGATGTTAAGGATAATTTGACAGTCTACAGATTACATGCCTCTGAAATAGAGTTCTGATGAAAGCAAAGATTGGATGTCTAAAAAGTTTTCAGAGAAAGCTAAAAAAAAACTACACTTTTTAACTACTAAACACCAATCTCCTTTTCTGACTCAGTCATTTGCTGTGCATGGAATAAATGACCAAGGTGAAATAATGTACCTATTCCCCCAAGAGACTAATGCAACCCGAGTCCACGCTCTGATATGCCTTCTTCTAAAAATAATTTGTTTTCATGAATATAGCAGCGACATCCGGATTCCACTGATCGAGGTGAGTGTATGCTTTTATTTCTCCCCAGGCAAGGGCAGCTGGGAGAAATTTGCTCTTGCTGCCAAGGGAGTTGCAAAGGATGATGGTGGGTACTGACAGCTCAGAGTGTCTGGCTTATTAAATCAGAGACCACTCGCTGGCTTGATTGATGAGAGACAGATAGAGACTGAAATATAACTATGGGAGCTATTTGGGTTGGAGCAACTCTAGACCTATCGTAACTCTGCATGCTTGTTTCTCTGCATTCAAGTGACTATTATTTTCTGTGTTTTCAGGGTACCTTGTTTTACCTGAATGGAATGCATGAACAAGTCTCTTACCTAGAGTGATTCCATTGGGCCACTCAATGTGGTCAGACACCAGAATTTGTCGATCAACTCCATTCATTCCAGCCTTCTCTATTTTGGCTTGATCTCCCCAGTCTGACCAGTACATAAAACTGTGAAAAGATACATTGCCAAGGTAAATACAACGGATCCACATCTAAGGAACACATTAACGGATTGCATATAAAACAACTCACTTAAGAAAACTCTGTAAGTTACAACATATAATTGCCCTTAGGATAGATAAATCAAACATTAAACTGTCAGTCTCTCTTATGTAAATGTAAAAAATGTAAATCCCTTCATTGTCCCACAATGGGGAAATCCGTTGCCTGCATTCTGACCCATCGTCTTGGGGAGCAATCGGGGGTTAAGGGTCTTGGTCAGGAACCCAGAGTGGAGGCTTTGGGGAGCAAACTGGTTATTTGCAACCTTATCAGAGCACAACCGCACTGCTCCAACCCACAAGGCCAACACTCCCCTTATGCACATATAAATTGAAAAATATATCCCACTTTCTTTTCAGCACACAACTATCACAATTCCACTATCATGATTATCTTGAGTAATGTAAAGTAACCCTAGTGCATGTTGCTGCTACAAGTTATGCTTTGGTGATTTTTCTGCGTTACCTTTGACCTGAATTTGCACTTTGGGAAAATGTCCAACATTTCTTGTTGGGTTATATCAGACCAAACTTAGTCTTTAACAAAATCTCAGGCAGTCCTGTCTTTTTTGTTTTCCTTTGGGTGAAACCTCAACTCTTACACAGACATTTGGAGAAAATAGGAGATCATTGTCACACAGAGCAAAGCTAGCAAAAATCTGAAAATTCTACTACTAACTCATTTTTAGTGTTAGTTTGTTGTCATACAGTCTGAGTAATTTCTATAATGTCCTCTATTTCATATATCAGGAAAAAAACACTTTCTGGTTTCTTGTCTTATCCAACTGCTAATGTCTATTTATAATTTACCATTAAAAGCTGCAGTGTGTGTTTTTTATCCTTATCTTGACTGATCAACTAAGATCATTTTGATCCATTTTAATGAGAGAATGATGGCATAAGTTAAATTATTTAGTGGTAAAATATCAGGAAAAATAATCACTATTAAACATGAAAAAAGTTATAAAATCATGTATGTTATGGTCTTTTTTACATGATCAAATCGTGTCCATACAGTATAAGAGGCATGTGAAAACATACTAGCACTTTGTGTTCTCTCATCTCTTATTAATGTGGCCTAGGCTGACTTCATTTTTTTTTTTACATCGAGGAGAAAAAATGTAGTATTCACAACTGGTTTCTACTTTTGCATATTCTTCTGAGCAATGCACACATCTATAGTTTTGACTTTGAAGTTGTGGGCAAAGACCGCCGCTTTTCTTAGAGTGTTCAGCTCTATTTTATCGATCCAGCATTTATTAAAGTTACGACTTTAAAGCTTAAACTGTGCTTGAAGCCTTCAAGTTTCAGAGCTAAAGTTTAGAACATTTTAAACATTTATCAATGGAAAATGAGAAATTTTGGTTTCTTTTGCATGCATTTCATGCTAGCCAAGATTTTCATAGTCATATAAATATTTCTTTTGGGAGCTCAAGATATTGGATTCGAAGCGAAATTGGTTAAAAAGAAGAAAAAAAGTCTAATTCTCTATTTAAATATATAATTCTAAAACAACCTGACACACCATATGGATCAGCTTTAAAAATAGAACCGCTTTGCTAAGGTTTAATGTTCCATGCCAACTTGAAAATCGAAGTTTCTTTAGTTTCTTTTTTTCATTGTTAAACCAGTGTCCACAGTTTGCAGGGAAAAATCAGAGCTATGGGCTTTTGGTCACAGTTTTTCCTTCAGGGCATTTCACTTACATCCTGTCCAAATGTCTCTAAACTCTAAAAGTTTCCTCTCACCCATGGTGTGGATCCACTACTATGGCCCTTGGCTCACTGAGCTCAGTGGCTATAAGCACTTTCCTCTTCCTGCCATCTCCCGTTGCAACAGAGATGGTCTTGTTGCCCGAGTCTGTCCAATAGATGTTTTTGTGGACCCAATCCACAGCCAGGCCCTCTGGAGAGTGGAGAGAGTCCACCAACGTTACCTGCTGTGAGGAGTCACTGGCCTTGTTGATGTATGCACTGTAGGGAGAAGACAAAAACAGATTAAATAAAATTTAAAGTGTATATCAGCATGTACAATGCTTTGTAAAAGCATTTGTTCCCCCTAATCCCTTTACGCTGATATATTTAGATTATCAATCCAACATGCCATCTAATATTAGTCTCCCTCTGTGTAATTTGATGTCAATATAAATACTGCTATTCTGTGGAGACACTCGAGGTGTCTTTTAAACATTGGTAAATAAACAGCTTGTGAAGATGAAGAAACAGCAGAGAGACCAAGGGAAAAGTTGAGGAAGTCAAAGTTAAGGTAGGATGCATATAGCCTAATACAAAGCAGGCCTAAAAAAACAACAACAAACCTGCTAGATGCAGATAAAGATGCTCAGCAGGACAAGAAGCCCAGCCAAACAGCCACAGCATAGATCACAGCATACTCATGAGTTAGAGCAGCCGTGTCAAAGCTCAGACCTTAATCCAGTTGATTAGAAACACTTATTCTCAGACTGAGCATATGTATCAAACTATGAGGAGAGATTGAAATAAATGCACATTGTTGCAAAATGAACCAATATCTTCCATTCAATGTTAATTATTATTATTTTATTTTTTAGTGACTGCCATTTTATGTATTTGCTATGAGTACATACAGACTACTGTGTCTTTTATTTTGAAAAGTGCCCTATACAAATTCAGCTCTTTTCAAAACAGGAATAGTGGATTAGTTTCCTTCCATCATTAGAAAATATAACAATAGTTGTTTTCTGTTGTTTTTCTTTTATAAAAAAGAAATAGAAATATGTAAGCAAGTCATTTTAAATCAAGCATATGAAGAAGTTGTTTGGACAAGCGTCTTTACCGTAAGAAAAGCTGGTGAGCAAAATGGTGCAAAGATGGATGAGAGTAGGATCTGGAAGCAGATTGTCTACTTAATTGACTGTGTTACTGTTTGCCAACTCATTTTTGTATACGGGCGGTGGGGATGCTCCTGTGCCAGCATGACGGATAATCTAAGTGCTTTCTTTTTTTTAATTCTTTGCTAAAGCATGTTTAACATAATTCCAAACAGAGTCTCTTCCTGAGGACATTTTCTTTTTTAAAGTTAAGTGTTGATCAATATGGATGAGGATTACATCCTTCCAGATGCCGAAACTGTACAGTTACGGCCAATATTAGATGTGAACTATAGATATGACAATCTTTAGTTTGAAGAATACCAAAGTGTGACTTTTTCACTTTTTTTTTTATATAACAATTTCAATTCTATTCCAATGACAGGAAACAAGGACCCATTTGGACATTTGGGCTTTATACACTATAAAACAAGGCGAGGCCATAAATAATTACAAAGAGCTGCGCAGCAGAATAAGCTGACAATAAATTACGCAAAGAACTCAGAGCAGATTGCATCTTTAATTGGCCATACAATTGTTTGCAACATCTCTATTAGTGGGAGAAGTTAACAAGACATTGACCCACAGAATGCTAATCACTATGGAAAAAACAAAAAAACGCATCACTGTGATAGAGAAATACGCATACACTGACACTGGAATGATGAAATAAAGGCTTTGTTGAAACCTAAACAATCATTAGAATATGTATTTTAGAAATGTTTCTAATAATAATAATTGGCCAGCAGTGGGCTGCCATTGTGCAGCTCCCGGGAAGCAGTGTGGGCTTACAGGCCTTGCTCGGGTACCCAGAGTGAAGGCTGTGGGGATTAAACCAGGTACTTGCAACCTTCTCAGAGCACAAGCACACTGCTCTAACCATTACGGCAACACCCCCCCCTGGTTTATAGCATTGCCGTAATGGTTTAAAATATTACCATTGCTTGTTTCTGAATTTCTTTTCAGTTTTTGGAACATATTTAGAACAGAAGAATAAGAAAAATCTTAGAATTTGTTGAATTGTTTGGCCAAGACTTTGGACTCAGAAAGAGAAACAACTGTCAGAACCTAACATATAATAAACGATTATGGATATAACAGTTGTTAGCAATGTTTCTTTGTTACAAAACAATCTTCATAACAAATCCCACCCTGGGATCCAGTGTGTGTGTGTTTTTTTTCTCTTGCCACTCAGGCTTCTTCTCACATTTCAAAACTAATGACTTTAAATTAGGTCTGAGTTTGTGCATGCATGTCTGTTTATTCTGCTTGTCTCGGTGCTGCTCTGTTAATAGACTGCCAGCCTGTTCCAGGGTTTGTCTGCCTCATGCCCAAAATCTGCTGGAGGTGCGCACCAACACCACTGTGAGCCTGCATACTAAGCAGGTGTAATAAATGGATGGAAAAGACTGGCAAAAGTTTCTCTGTGAAATTAAATAGGAAGTTTACTGCAGGAAATTTAATTTAATAGAATAAACGAACCAAATAAATATGTATGTAAATGTGTATTCCTAGGTCCTGCTAAACCTTCCTATTTGAAGGATAATGTGATAAAATTACAACAACAAAAAAAAACAATAGAAAAACTAAATAAAACTACAGGATCAATCTATTTTCATATATTATCAAAGGGCAGCTTTAATAAAATATGACATTGTCATGGAAACGGTGAAGCTTCTGATTACATCAGACTTTTTCTCCTTTCTGTTCTGCTCTACTTAGATTGTTTAATGTTTTTCTTTTTTTTTTTTATCATCATATAGAAATGAAAAGTATCACATTCAACCCTTGTTTGTTAGCCAAATACAATTCACTGCTTTCTGCTATATTATTATGCACAGCATGGTATCTGCTTGCTTATTTCTGCAACTCTCTTATTGCCTGCTTAAGGAGCTCTTCAGCACTGAAGTCCAGGGCTGCATGCATCAAATTGCATATTATTCTAGTGTACCATAGGGTGAAGTATTAAATCTGGGCAGGCACTGGAGCTGTAAAAATATGGAGCAAAACACAAAACCAAAAACTCTCCAGTAATTCTGCATTAAATTTTTATATCAGAACATTAGAATTCACGATCGCAGACAAATGTTTGGCGTTAATGCCACTGCCTAAATCTGTTCCCTTTCTTTTAAAATTTTAAACATCAGTTGTTTTTTCAACAGGTGGAAAGTCCTTTTAGCTAAAAGCCGCTACATACTGTACTTCACAAGAAAGAATTTTTCTTTCTTGCTTGTTATCGAAGGAACATCTAAGCAGAACTTTATTGTTGTCCAATAACAATTGTTGCTAGTAGGAGAAAAGAGATGATGTTCTTTTTTTGTTTTTGGATCTGGAAATTCCTCCTTTTATTTAAGGTGCAGAAATCCGTACAGTGATCTGAAATTTAATAGCCATAGAAGGCAGTGGTCTGAACATTTGTATAACACCTGTTTTAATTGACATAAAGCATTTTGCCGCCCAACTCCTCATCAATTTGAAAAATGCCTCTTCTGGGTGCAGGTGAAAAGTTACAGGGAATTGGACTTTCTGTGAGTTTGGCTGCTGAGCTGCTTTTTTGTTCTTGTTTAGTTCAGTTCATTTAATTTATATTTATTATTTACATAGCGCCACTTCACATGTCATCTCAAGGCACTTTACAGAGACAATTCATCCAGATCTTTCAGTCAAATTGATTCAAGTTTTCTATGTAAGGAAAACCAGTTGATTGCATCGACTCATTGACTTGAAAGCAATCCCTCACACGAAGCATGCTTGTAGAAACAGTGGAGTGGAAAAACTTGTTTTTAATAGGAAGAAACCTCCAGCAGAACCAGGCTCAGTGTGTATTGTTCAGTGTATTCTTGCTTCTTGAGGAGTATGTAGCGACCCTTTGTCATGTGAAACATACATGTCTGAGTGTTTGATTGGACGGACGCATTTTTCTAAGACTAATACTTCTAAAGTAAGTAGTATGAATAATAAAGTATGATTCATCATAAGAAATGTAAAACATTTTTAGATTAAAATAAAGACTTTGCAAACACCAAAATCAGGAAGCAAATACAAATTTGATAAATACTGCAGATGGATAAGGAATGGCCATATAGGCAAATGGACTGACAGATAAATTGACTGGGAACTTTTAGGCCAAGAAAAGGGCATAAAGTTAAGTAGGAATCATACTTGCGCCTATAATATAGGTAATATTTTCTTTTTCCATTATTTGTGGACCTGGCATTTATTTTTCCAACAAAATTCCAGACTTCATAAGAACCATTCCAAAAGCAAATTTAAAAATGCTACAATTAGCTTTTGAACTAGTATAATTTTTCCAGAAAGCAATATGATAACAAAGCTGAGATAAAATGAGTTATTCTGCTGTAACAATGATCCAGGTTAGCTGGACAAGCAGGAAACCATCAAGATGCAAAACAAGGGATGATGGGTACATTAGTGGCGACTGGCCAATAGAGGGAGAAAGGGAGCCACCCTACCAGTCCGATGACCTTGATTAAGACATTGAAAAAAAAACAAATTGAAATTTTAAAATTAAAATACTTCAAAATATATTGATATATATATATTTTAAATGTGCAAGATAAATATTACATCTTTAATGACGAGTAACGTCATTTCGTTTTTCGACTCATTAAAAGTTGTACATGCGCAGTAGCTCCTCTGTAATACAAATATATTGAAAAGGAAACAGTTTCGACCTGATCAGCCGAATATCAAAATTAATCAGTCCAAAGACAGATGGAGTAGGTACACTTGGTCTTTTTCCAGGACCTGGTTTAGCTACAAGCCTTTGCTAACTGCATGTAGCGAGGCTAACGCTTTATTCTGCTTTCTGCTCCTTTTTCAAGCATCAGAATCTGACCAAGTTTGAATAAAGACAGGAAGGACTGATTTAAAGCACTTTTTAGAGAAGGATGAACAATCTGGTATTCACATGGAGAATAATATATTAGTGTACTTTTTCCTAGGTGTTTCTTAATTTGCATAGTTGTTCTTAAACACATTCTCAGAAAATGAATATTTTTTATATATAAAAACATAAAAAGCTTACTAATATCATCTCTATTATTAAACTGGTACATTACTTTTCTAGGTTGGTGAACCATATTGGACCATGCAAAACACAGATTTGCCTTCATAAAGCCTCAGAAGGGCACAATTTATGTACAAAAAGTAATCCTGTTCATGAAATTATGTTTTGCTTTTATAAAGTGTTTTTAAAATGTCTTTTTGTTGTTGTCATTCATATAAATATACTGGTATGATAACTCAGTATATATTTGTTTGTTTTTTGGTAAAGGTCTTTTTTGAATTTACCCCCCCACCCCCGCTCGAGAAAACTCCACCAGCCACCACTGGGTTAGATCTCTCAAACATAAAATGCAAAATGATTGATTTGAAAAAGAAGAATAAAAAACCAGCTAGAATAAGGCCACGTTAAACTGCACAACTCTATTAGCTGAGAAGGAGCTACGATGCTGGAGCTTATTTACTGCTTGGAAAATAGAGTCCTCTGTTAAGAACGAGTTCATTTGTCCTTCCTCTGTCACAAGCCCTTGAGTGTATCACAGAGTTGATGAGGAAGAATGTGTATGTGTGTATGCAGATGAATAATGATGGTGATTATTGATGCAGTGAAATTAAAGGAAGCATATGGCTCAGCTGAGATGATAGAAGACCCCTAGATCTACCTGCCAGCCATTAAACCTCCACATAGCAATACAACCACACAAACAGAGAAACTATGATCTCCAAGTATGTGTGGGTGTGTGGGAAAGTGTGTGCATGAGTGTGAGGAAGGACAAACCGCTCCACCTTCCATTATCGGACAGATGACACAAGCCTGCAGGTGTGTCTGCTTCACCAACAGAAGGTCTGACAGGCTGAACTAGACAAGATGGATGAACGGGAGGCCATGATAAGGCAGACCAGGTGAAGTATGCAGAGAGAAGTTATCCAAATGGGAAAGGGTGTCTTTTGTGTTCTCATTAACCTTTTACATAAGTTGTTCTTCTGTTTAACTATATAGATTATTATAAGAAAATCATGATAGAGAATAGTGAAACAAACTGCTGAGCCGCATTCATTCTGACATGTCCCTGTTACAGTGGCTGTGGGCAACATTGGCTGTCACCACACCTCACGAACAAAACCTTACTCTTTATTATCTCTTCTAATAATGATTTAAAACTTTACCCCTTAAACAAATGTCCATTGCCTCTCCTTATTTAAAGTGGAGATCTCTACAGCTGTAGCCAAAGCTATCCTAAAGATAAGCCATAATGTTTCCCTGTTTATGCCACATATCTTCATCTCGTCAAGGTGGCTTCCAGGGTACAGACCCGAAAGAAATGGTCTCTCTTTGTGAAGATGTACTCTTTTCTATTTTACAATAGGCAAAGAAGGTGCTGAAAGAGCATTACTAAAGAAAGAGAGAACTTATGCCTACTGTACTGTATGTGGCCCCATTTGACCAACATCACAGTCATTCTTCAGGCAACTTCCTCCATTTTTGAAAGCAAACAGACACAATTCTCTGCACTTGTAAATCTAGACTTAGACAGATTTATTTTGTCATTTTTTATACACAAGTGTAAACAAAAAGAAATTTCGTTAAGAACAGCTCTCTAGACAATTTCATTTTTTAAAGTGCAGCCTTGATAAGGCAAGACATAAAGAAAAAAAAACATTGTGATGAAAAACCTGAAAAAATGAAAAATCTGCTGCTGTGCGCCCCATTTTAATGCAGCCCTTGGTGACTGCCCCTAAAACGCCACACTTTATCAGAACAGTGTGTTTATTTTTGCATGTACCTGTATATTTTGCGGTGAAACAGATCACACCAGAACATCTTGTTAGTTGACACATCAACATCCAGGGCCACAGCATTCTTCAGGGTGGGAACGACCTGTGTATATTCACTCTTCAGCAGGTCGATGCGACGGATTTCATGGCGATTTGTAAACATCAGGTAGGGACTCTTTCCTATAGAGAAGACATGGGGTACATGACATGTACATTGAAAAATATTCTCCATTATGTAGTCACTGCTAAACATTTAAATAATAAGACAAGACACCTTTCTATGATCAATCCACACTGTAACTTTCTGAAGAAATCCATTAGATAATATTTCTTGTTCCCCACTTAGTATTGATTTGGCTACATGCAAAGCAGATAATTCAATCCTGTCCCATGTTCTCTCTATTTACTGTAGTTGCCCTGCTGCTGTGAAACAAAAAGGCTAAATGTGCCTCAGACTAAAGTAGACCAACAGAACAGATATGACGCATGATTTTATTTTTGGCACAACCATGTGTCAAAAGTGTGTTAGTGGGCCCTCTTCTTTAGGTACACATAATGCAAGTTGTTAGCTGGTGCATTATGTCCTCTAAGGCACATTTTATAGCAGACTGAAAAGCAGGTGTACATAAAAGGATTATAAAAACAATATGAGTCCACTTTCAAGGACATCATATTTAGTATACAGAAATTGTTTACAAAATAAAGTCTAGCTTTTGTTCAAGCAAGTATGGTTTGATTTCCACTGTAGATGTGATCAATAGTATATGCTACTAACAGTGTGCTAAAGCTTTTATCAATAATGTAGAGTCTGTAAAATTTCTTTAATTTGGTTGGATTACTTTGTTCTGTTCTTACTTTCCTTTTTTAACCTCATTTACCAGCACATTTTACCCCAACTCCTCTTTTGCAACCCACTTGATGCTCCCACTTGTTCAGAAAAGGAAAAGTGCCACTTAAATCTCAAAATAAATTATACAACAGGCTAACTGATGAGCAAAAAAAACATTAAACCAAGCTTTAGTTTTGTTCCACGGTTTACCATGCACTAACTCACAGCGAGAACCTTTCTACTAGTGTTTGAGTGCAATCATTTTCCTCCAACTACTGGGTTGGTAACCATCAATTTCACCTGCTGGGAGATGGACAGGGATAGAGACAGAGCAAGAAACAGACAAGAACAAGTAAAATTGATGGATGAATGTGTCGTCATGGAGGTTTGATGAGTAAGAGGATGCAATTGGGAGAGTAGACGTGGAATAAGTTGGGAAACAAATCAACAAACAGGTACTTGCAGGAGAACAAAAGTTTAGAATGAAAGAAAGTAAGAAATATACATTTTATGCCGTGCTTGGAGAGTGTAAAAAAAAACTCTTATCTCGGTAGTGAAAAAGTAATGCAAAATCATTATCAATTATTAAGACAAATATTTAAGTAGTTTATCAGTACATGCTCCTAAAAATAAAATTCCTTTCTATGCATTTTTGAAATATATAGTTAAAAAAAAGCTGTCTGACAGGTTAAAAGAGAGCAGTATAACACACCAAAAGTCCCTCTTTTTGAGCTGTTCTAATAAATCCTGTCTCAGAATCAGCTTTATTCTCAAACTATATGTGCACACATGTTATCTAATTCAATTAAAATTGTGGGCATTACTTTAATATACATCTCAAGCATTGATATGAAGCTTAGTAAATTATATTTTCATGCTTAAACATTTAAAACTTGAAAAACAGAATCTCAAATTGATGGATTATTGAGAACTGTTGGTAAAAAAAGAGAGTTATAAGTAACTAAAAACTGATCAGTAACTGATCAGTTTTTACCCCCCATCAGTTACATCAGAACAGAAAACATCAGGCAACAGCCACAGTCTCCATTCTCCACAGAACCAAAAGTTCTGCAGTTACTCATGAACAGAATGAGAAGCTGTGCACACTTTGAGAGAATCTAGCAGAAACTGGCCATTATGGACTGTTTGTTAGTGTTTTTTTTTTTTGCTAATGGTGCAGAAATGCCTCCCTGTGATGCATGTTTTGACTGTCTAGTTTTAATTTTATCACTCTGTCACATAAAGTGCTTAATGTGCTTCGCTCATATTTACTCATGCAGGCTCTAGCATTGGGCGAGAATGGGTTTTGAGATAAACCCCCCCGATCATATTTGAAAATATAAACATCCTTTAAGGCTTAAAAAGTTAGAACCTTTGAGAGAGTACAAATAAATATTGAGGGCCAATATGCATATAGATATTTGAAGAAGATAAAAACAGTAAATAACTTTGAAATTCTATTTTTAAGATGACTGAAAACCAAGAACTGCATGAAGAAATGTGAGCAGAGTTATAACAACACTGCTTTGTGTCTTTGTTCCCATGACTCACCATGGGGATAACCTGACCACAGCTTTAAACTCAATTTGAAAAGTGTGTTCTCAAACTGTCAAGTGTGGCTCACACTGCTCTTGGCACTGTGGTTAAGCTCCCAGTACACCACAGACAAAGGATAGAACAAGTAGACCTGTTTGGTCCACAGACGGTTTGCGGATTGTTTTCTGCAACATTGCAACTACCTGTTCTGCTCTTTATTGCGCCGTTAGTTAAGCTTTTGTAGTGTAATTCCCCTGCTCTGTTAGAATCTTTTATCCATTACTCATGAGTAAACACTTAGATCGTTAGGATAAAAAATAGAAGAATAAAAGAAAGAACTGAATCCAAAAGCAAAAGATTTTTCCCTGTTGTTTTGTTTTCATATCTGTATCAATTCTCAACAAGTGTTCAAACAAAAAATTAGCGTTCCTGTTTACCTTCCTTTATCCTTTCTCATTCTGTTGTTCAGACACACAAAAAACCCACAGACCAAAGTTGATGAGACTTTCAGAGGCTTTAAACTTAAAGTTTATGGGGAAACATTGAATGCAATAAGTGGGAAATAAAAGTTTGCTCAGGGGGCTTAACGGGTGCTGCTACACAGCAAAATTAATGTTCCCAAACACACATACACAAATACCAGCTTAGAGAAGAAAGCACATAATGGCTCTGACCTGAGATTTTACTTTTAATTAGTATTGCTAGACTTACAGCTAGTGTGAAATTAATCTTGGGAGCCATAAACTGCATGCTGGGAATAGAAAATTTACATGAAGAACACACACAAAGTTGTATATTTATTTGTTTTTGAATTGTTTAAATAATGATTCATGCCTTCTAAATAGAAATATAGTGGAAATCGGCCCATGTTTTACTAAATCATAGTGTAATACAGTTCTATCACAGGGGATTTGAATCCGTGTACAAATTAGGATCCGTCTCTTTAAAATGACAGTGTGTATGAAAACTAAAGGCTATATATATGCTGATTTCTGAGGAAGAGTGTCTAGGAATAATTTGACGGCCAAATGCAGTTTCATTAAATCCTCATTACATCAGCTTCACAAAGCATGCATCTCTTTATTTACTGCCCCGCCTCTGTGCTTTGCTTTGAACAGGAATTAACATGAATAACAATCAACATTAATTCAGTCATATTACAGACGCTCACTCTTCATGTCGCACTTTATCATGCTTTGTTTATTGAGGACAACATTATACACCAAATGTATTTTTTCATCTGTCCATCTTTTTTTCTTCTTTTTGCCACCAGAGCGCTTTGACTCTAACAACTGCTGTCTGACGGTAATAAAGATTCACACAGAGAGACACTGAGCAATCAGTGAGGGTTTTATGCCACTTAGCTTCAAAGTGAGGATATGTTTTCAGCTTTAAGCACTCTCATTACCAGACCAACTCAACCTATAATGACTTAATCTAGACAATAATTACAGATAACATGCCTTCTCCCTCATTTCCTGTTGAAAAGTTAGTAATTTGCTGTAAAAAGATTTCTTTCATTTCCTTCATTTTTCTTAAGGCCTGACTGCACAAAGCAACCCTGGATGAAACAAAACATGTTAATTAGATTAAAATGTCTTAAACTGACAAGGTGTGTTTCTTTTAGAGAGTATGACTTGACCCAAGCTGAGGAGATTTTTAGCAGGAAGACAAGGGAGATGTTGTGGCCATTTATGCAAAAATTTTTGTAGTTTGTAATTTCTACCAATTTAGCTTCTTTGGGTAGTTAGAATACATTTTTGCTAATCTAGCAAACATTTGTAATACATTTTTTTAGTTTTGGAATTGTTCAGATTATATTGTTAAAGATATTGTGTTGGATTTTCTCGAATTTTTTAAAAGACCCGCTGTCTCCACTTAAAACAAAAAGATGCATCTACAAGAGCATGCACAAGCCCACGTCTCCTCATGCATGCTCTGTTTAAAAGTTGGTGTTCTGTCCTCCCTAACCCCTAAATCCCTCAATCACTACATAGAGCAGGTAATATACTGTGGACTTTATAGCGAAATTAGTTAACTGACTGTTCGGACAGATGATCAATTTCTCCATTGGTTCACTGCGCGGTGCATGCACCATCTTTGTTATTAGTCGCCACTGTTGGGTAGCGACAGCCAATGGAGGCTATGGCCCCTGTGACAGCAAATCCCACAATGCCTTGTGGGGAGAGCTTGCTGCACTAAGCATTACGGGATATATCTGCCTCTTCTGAGCACTTTCTTTTCTTCTCATACTCTTCGGAGACACTTTTTCTCTTACGAGCTTCTGCCATTTTCAAAGAACCGCATTGAGAAAGGTGAGCTTCAATGACTGTCTGAAACCTTAGCTCACCACAGATATACGCCTGAATTTGCTCATGACCATAATGAGAACTGAACTAAAATGTGACTAAGACTAATAAAAGTTTTCATCCTGAAGACTAAGACTAAGACTTAATCTAAGATGGCTATCAAAAAAACAACACTGCTAACTGGGGATGAGCTTGTAGGGCCGCCTTTTGTAAACGTATCACCAGAATGAATGACAATTAGGAGGACCACTTATTTAGATGATCCACCTGGAAATAAAAGATCGTCCTCTATACCTTTAATTGTTAGACCTTCACATTTATTTGAGAACACACCGGCCAATTAAATTAACAACACACCTGGGTGGGGGTCAGTTGTTCGGGAAAAGTGTGGTGCGGACAAAAGGTTTTGTAAATATTTTTTTTACCATTTTTTTATTGCTTCAAACATTATATTGACATTATTTTTCATTTTGACTAAGTTGCAAGACATTTTTAGTTATTATTTTGTCTCTGCTCTTACAATAAATAAATTAAGTCGGAAGTGCATGCAAATCCAAAAACCACCTGTTAACACCCATGGCCTTTGTTGGACATATTGGCCTTTGGCAGTCTTTTTGGAGCGGAAGGCAGCGACAGAAGGCTTGTTTAACTGCAAAATGTTAACAAAATTCAAGCAAACCAAGAGCCTCCGGCAGGCATCATAAAACTGTAGGTAAGAGCCAATTTTCACAAGGCATGGAAATAAGAACACTAGGTATAAAATAATATTCAGAATATAAACATGGTCATAGTTCTTTTGTTCAGAAATCTATCCTAACAGGGTTGGTAGTGGTTGCCTTTACTGTCAGGGCAGATTTACTCCAGAGGATGGGCAGTTTGACATTTTATCTGTAACAAAACAGGCTTAAATTAATTTAATAAAAGATAACCCACATCAGCCTTACATCAGTAAGATGTTTGAAAATGAACTCAGAGAAAGCCTATCAAAGCTATTTAAAAGAAGACTGTATTAACTATGACATACAAGGACATGATTCTAGTTAATTAAGACTTTGTGAGAGATAGGAAAGCTAAGACATTTAGCAGATAATGGAACGGTTCTAATTCAATAAAGGAAAGTTGTTGTGTTTAATCATTTTGAGCTTTCAAACTGTCCATTATGGAAAATGCAGGATCTGGAGCAAAGCTAGTGAGAAATACATAAGGAGATTGTTGTAAAAGCAGTGCCAACAAAACCAAACACCCAGAATATCATTTTGAAAATCGTTCCAAATATCAACTGGGTAACAAGTAGTTGCTGGGGAACCAGTTGATATTTTTTTCTTTATTTAGAACACTACAGTAGTAGAACTCTGTTTTGAAACAGCTCTCTTACATGCAGTAGGTCATATGTGCTACTAATAAAAATAATGATTGTGTATACATTGCAGTAAAGCTGTTGTTATATCTTTGAATTTTTGGTTCTGAAAGAAAAACGGATTGGTCCAAAAACTAAGTGAGCAGGCGGGAAAATCAGCCACAAATCTGATCCTGTTTGATTTGAAAGTCATTGCTCAAGTTCTGAAATGCACAGTGGCAAAGTTTGCTGCACTGTTGCCTTGCAGCAAATAAGGCTCTAGTCAAATTCCAGGCCTAGCGTCTTTCTGTATGGAGTTTGCACGTTCTCCCTGTGCATGCGTAGGTTCTCTCAGGGTACTCCGGCTTCCTCCCACATTCCAAAAACCTCACTGTTAGGTTAATTGGCATCTCTAAATTGTCCTTAGGAGTGTGTATTTCCACGGTTATATGTCTCTGTGTTTTCCTTCATCAGACTGGCGACCTGTCCCGGGTAAACCCCGTCTGCGGCATAAAACAGCACTCCAAGGTTGGAAAGAACACCTCTGATGTCATCACCCCAATCACAGGCTCCCCTCAGCACTGCGTCCTGAGCCCCCTGCTGTTCACTCTGACGTCACACGACTTCGTCCCCAGGTTCACCACCAATCACATCGTGAAGTTTGCAAACGACACCACGATGGTGGGCCTCATCAGAGACAATGAGCAGGACTAAAGAGGGGAGGTGGAGCAGCTGGTGGACTGGTGCAAAGTTAACAGCTATATCCTGAACGTGGAGAAGACGAAGGAGATCATCGTTGACTTCAGGAAGAACCAGCCTAACCACGCTCCACTGCACATCAACAGCTCAGCTTTAGAGGTGGTCAGCAGCACCAAATTCCTGGGGGTGCACATCACAGAAAACCTCACCTGGACTGTAAATACCACCTCACTGGTCAAGGGGGCACAGAAGCGCTTAATAATGTGTTAAAGGTGGTGAGGACAGCAGAGAGGATCGTCAGTACTCATCTTCGTTCCTTTAAGAACATTTCATCCCAGCGGTGCGTGTCCTGAGCCCGTAACATCATCAGCGACCCCGCACACCCCTACCATGGACTGTTCTCCCTGCTGCCCTCTGGGAAGAGGCTAGCAGGCTAATTCTAGATGTCTTGAGTTCCAAGAAAACCAGTCTGGGAGACTCATATCAAAGGCAAAATACAAAGTGCATACTACAGCAGTAAACATTTGAAGCATGTAGCTGACCGTGTGAGGCTTACCATACAGGTAAAAGCTGAAAAATATGTTTTTTATATTCTTACATAAAACATTGTACATAATAATCTTGCTTAGCTGGTATAAATGCCAAAACAGACCACATCGTTTCCAAAAAAGATAACAACAGAATATATTTGCTAATGTTCTGTAGTTGCTTTATATTACTGTAAACATTTATAACCAATACATATAACACACTAAAACAACTATTTTATCTGATGCAAAAGAGGTTCTGAATTCCACTATAAGAAAAAACTCCATGTGGATCTTCACTTTGTGATAAAGCGATACAAGCTTTTCATTATCTGGACCAGCTAACAGCGCAGGGTTATGCTTTTTATTCATAACACAGCCCAGAGATCTCTTGCCAGCAAATAAGGGTTACAGACCCTGCCTGTGTCCTGCAGTGAGTGCACAACCCTTACCCACACAACAGCCCTCCTCACACCCCGGGGAAAGCTGAGGCAGCTGGCTGAAAAGTCACCATTATAGTGGACTAAAGAAAAAGATGGCAAATATTTATCTTTGAACAGATTGCTGTGCAGGCCCTGCATACGAAACAAGCCTCTCTTTTCAGAGTCCTGCTGAGTGAGAATAGTGTAGGATGTCACATTGTAGTTAGGGGTGCTGGAATGGATGAGTAATTGGTGTTTATACAAGAGCGAGTCTCCATGTCTGAATTTGCTCAAGTATATATGGGATCATGATGGATTTTGGTGAGAACATCTAACTGTGGTTTTGTGTATGTCTTCTCCTGAGCAAATGTGTGTGAGAAAGTGTGCATGTGAGACATGACTTACCCACAGCTTTGCAAGTCTTTGACGCAGGGTCCATCTCATAGCCTTCATAGCACTCACATTTATAATCTCCTTTGTAGTTAATGCAGATCTGACTGCAGGCATCTGGGTTCTCACACTCATCTATGTCTATGAAAGAAGAATATAAGCAGAATTGTAAATTAACTTAAAATATACAAAGGCAAAAAATATTTGATCTGATTATAGAAACATGAGTCTAGCTCTCTGGGATGAAAAATAATTTTTGGAGAGAATCTTTACATTAAAAAAAAGGCTGTCTTTCATACTACAGGTAATGGATTCTGGCTTCGTCTATCGTAATATTTCATATATACAGTAGGTATAAAATAAATATGGACAACGTATTAAGTTTATATGATAGCACTTCTTTTTTTAGAATATGTAATGAAATTACAATGAGATTTTATTTTTTTTCGGCATTATTCTGTCTTACAGTTTGTTCAAAGTCTGAGTTGTCCAGTCAGCTCTTTTCTTCAATACTAAGACACCAAAAAAAAAACCCATCCTTCTATTTTTCTGATAGCAGTCGGAGTATTAAATTCACAGGAAACTGCAGGCATTAAAAGTTTGCTCTCACTTATATAAATGCCTTAAGGTGTAGGTTTTTAACCATAAACTAATTAACATTTAACTAAAAAAATCTATCAAAGTGCATACCCTTTTCACTCTTTAAAGGACCTGCTGATCATCAAGTAGAGATAATCAAGTGAAAATTGACATGTTTTTGTCAATTTTTCTAAATACGGTCTATAAGAACACTACTACATGAAGGAAACATTTCTAACAAAGGAGAGTCCTTTCTTGTTGCGAATGGCAGCAAAGTTTTTCAAAAGATTAGGATATTTTTTTTTCTAGGCTAAAAAAAATCCCCAAAATAAATGAGTTGCATCTCTGCTTGTACAGGAAACCTCCCAGAGCTGATAGTCCTGCCCATCTGTGCCTCCTGATGCTTTGAGCTTCCTCCTTCCCTTCCATCCCTCTATTCTGCTTGAGGACAATGCTATGTGAAAATTTTTATTTGATTTAGGTGCTCAATAACTACTGTAGTTCGTGCATTATGGTTGTGCTCTTTTCATGCAGGTGCAAATGATAATCCAACAAATATCATTAGTATCTTCACTTATGTCAGCACAACAATTTCCCCAGACAAGATCATCTTTAGCATATATTTACACATATATAGAGAGTGAGACAAAAGAAATATGATTTTAGTGAAGCATAGTGGAAGCTCCACAGTTCTCTGGGATTCATCTTGCAATAAAAACCCTCAGCCAGTTTAGGAAAAGCTGGATTAGGTCAAATTGTTGAGGAAAATATCATGTATTCCATGAGGAAGCCGAGTCCTTAAACAGGAGGACCCAAAGATTATTGTAAAGTCAACCAAGGCTTGTTTTAACAGGAACATTTGAAAGATAATAAAGTTGGCACTCAAATCAGCAGAAAGCCTTTTGTAGGTCTCTGGTGGGATTTGAAGCAGACAAACCAAAGAATATCCTCCAAAAGGAGGTGGATTAAGACTCTTTAAACAACTGCCAGTAGCGGGTGTCAACCCCATGTTTAGCAGGTAATTATCAGAGGTGTCAAGTAACGAAGTACAAATACTTACTTAAATACACTTTTAAGGTATCTATACTTTACTTCATTACTTATTTTTCTTCCAACTTCTGACTTCTACTCATTACATTTTCACACAAGTATCTGTACTTTCTATTCCTTATGACATCACTGGTAATAATTCCTCCTAAGTATCAAAGATGCTTATAATGGAGCTTGATCAATCCCGAGTCTGGAGCATGTTATTAAAGCTTATTTTTGTCTAAATTTGGAGAAAACACCAAAGGTATACTAAGTTATTCAAATTGCTAGTCTATTTGTTCCAGCTGCTAATTTGTGTATTTGCCAATAAACATAATTTGCAGAATAGGACACATAATTTTTGGTGCCTGAGTTTTTACACTGCAAATCAGCACCGGGTCGTAGTAGTCAGAGCAATTTGAATAAACAGGGACTTTTTTTTGCAGAAAAAAGGATAAAGAAGGTTTTGATGATATTTTGCATGGATGAGCACAGGGACATAGCCAGTTTCTCTCCATTAAAGCAGCAGCATTTTTGCATAAACTATTTTCCTTACCTCCACAAGTCTTTTTGTCCAGGAGTTTGTATCCAGAGGGGCAGTCACAGTCATAACCAATTCTTCGGTCCCTGCAGATGTGGGAGCAGCCGCCATTGTTGTCAGCACACTCATTGAGGCCTGGAAAGACAGGGGTGGCGGGGAGGAAGGGATGGAGGAAGCGACAGGCATGTGAGTGGAGGAATAGAGTGAAGAGGAGCTGAATATTGATGAAATAACTCCAGCAGATTTATTGGTCAGAATAACTTAGCCTTCAAAGCACACAAAGAAAGCTCTGGACTGAAAGACAAAACACCCAAGATAGTGTGTAAGGATAGTTTTTATCAATCTGCCAATCAAGATAATTTTACCCTGTCAATTGTGCCTGTATACATCAAAATCCCCATTGAAAAAGACAGTTAGCTTGAAGCATTACAAAATACACATACACAAGTGCTATGAAAATCAGCTTGTTCATAGCTTACAGGAACAGTTTCTACTCGTAAGGAACACATTCTTCAGCAGGTGCCATTTCGGTTTAATGACCAACTGTTACACAAGCACTTTCTCCTTATTGTCACATCTCTATCTGTCCAATTCCCCCTCTTTTTAACAATTAGAAGAACTGATTGGATTCTCCCTGTTGTTCTTCCAATCTGTTTTATGTTTCTGCATCACCGCTTGTATCCCTTTGTCTTTCAATCACCCTCCAGGGAGTCAAGAGAGATCACTGCAGTGAGGTGAAGCTGGTACTTCATTACAGATTTACATTAAAGATTTAGGCTTAAGGTTACAGGTACCGCTTTGGAACAAAGACTGAGTAAGACAGAGACAGAATGAGAGGAGTAGTCAAGAATGACTACAAACCTGCAATTTAACATTTCTTTCAATTTAAGTTAAGGCAGATATTCACAATGCTGTTAACCACACAAAGTGTCAGTTTTTTCCAATATGACATGTTTCTTGTTAAAAGCTCTATCAATATAAGATTTGTTTTACATATTAATTTAAATAAAACAGAAAATATCAAGGGATTATAAAGCAAACTGGAAATATTTAAATCAATTTTGGAATATCGTTTAGGAGGAGGGGGGGGGGTAGCGCAACAATGCCTAAGGCTACAACCAAGTGAAGCCCAATAAGGTATCTGCAACAAAAAAGCTTAAGTGTTGATGGGAAAGTGCCTGAAGCTGACAAAGCTGTAATAGGAGTTGCAATACTTGTGCCATGCCAGGGGGCTATGATTAGCTCTCCCATACAAGTAAAAAAGTTAGAAGAGGTAAAGGAGAAGAGTGTTGCAAAAAAAATAACAGAAGAGAGAAAGTAGTAGTGTAACTTCCACAATAAATTCAATAGCTTTTCAATATATATATATATATATATATATATATATATATAAACACTTCCTCACCACTGCAGGCTGTTTCCCTTTTTTCTTCCAAGCTCAGGACCTCTACAAGGCCTGGGAGCTTGAAGGTTCTGCACAGTACCTTTGCTGTTCCTAGAACTGCACTTTTCTTGACCGAGATGTCTGGTGCACTTCCAGGGATCTGCTGTAACCACTCCTCAAATTTGGGGGTCACTGCCCAAACTGCCCCAATGACCACGGGCACCACTCCATGTAAGATTTCCCTGCCAGCATCTTACACCCTGCATTTATGTGCTGGATTGTCTCCGGGGCCTCTCTGCCAATCTGCACCTAGGGTCTTGTCTGGTGTGGTCGATCTGGACCTCTATTGATCTGGTGCACAGGGCCTGCTCCTGTGCAGCCATGATGAGTGCCTCTGTGCTGTCCTTCAGTCCGGCTTTGTCTAGCCATTGGTAGGATTTCCTGATATCCGCAGTTCGGTAATGATTTGGTGGTACATCGCGTGTTGGGGCTTATTCTCCTATGACGGAACCTCTAGAACCTCATCTTCTTCCCATTTCCCATTGTCCGAGACATTCACTGAGCATGTCCTCTGTTGGAGCCTTGTCCTTGATGTACTTATGGATCTTGGATGTTTCATCGTTGATAGTGGCTCTCACCCTCAATAGTAATCGGCCTCCTTTCTTACGGCTAGCGTACAGTGTCAGGTTGCTGGATTTGGGGTGGTACCCTGCATGCATGGTTAGGACCTTTCTTAACTTTTGTGTCCTATATCTCATCCTTTGGCAAGCTTATAATTTCTGCAGGGTATCTGATTACTGGTAGAGCATAGCTATTTATTGCCCAAGACTTTATTTTGCCATTCAGTTGGTTTGTTAGGACCTGCCTTACTCGTTGGAGGTATTTGGCCATAGCTGCTTTCATGGTCACCTCTTCAAGGTTGCCATTTGCTTGTGGGATTCCGAGGTACTAGTAACTGTCCTCAATGTCTGCTATTGTTCCTTCTGGGAGTGAGACACCCCCTCTCTTCCCTCTCTTAGTCAAGAGCTTCCACATTGTGGAAAAGCTGGTCATTGGCCGATAGTTGGATTTGACTGTACCCCTTGATGGATCCTTCAGGATCCGGATTGTGCACCCTTCGGTTAGCAATCCAGGGTGGTTTCCTTCTCTCAGCAGCTGGTTCATTTGTGCTGACAAGTGTTGATGGAATGCCGTGAGTTTCTTAAGCCAGCAGGCATGTATCATGTCGGGACCTGGTGCTGTCCATTTTTTCATACCAGAGACTCTTTCTTGGATGTCTGCCACAGTGCTGGTGACTGGATTCTGTTCAGGGAGGTTGCTGAGGTCCTCTCTCAGCCACCAACCACTGTGAATCACTGTTGTGTGCTGCCTCCTTCTCCCATATGTCTTTCCAGTACTGTTCAGTTTCCAACCTTGGTGGGGCTGTTCTTCTATTGTTCCCCTGCCATTGAGCGTACACCTTTACTGGTTGAGTTGCAAACAGCCGGTTTACCCGTCTGGCTTCATCGTCTCTCTTTAGGTGGCTGGCCAAGGCTTGGAGCCTTTGTTTGGCAGTTTCCAGGGCTACAGGTATGGGCATCTGGCTGTACTTGCTTTTTCATTGCAACTTTTAGGGCCTCCGTCAATTGACTCCTCTCCATATTGCCTTGATATTAGCCTCCAGCCTTCTTCTCCATGGTAGGTATTTCAACACATGGTTGTTCTTACAACCAAGCATCTCTAGGATCACTGCTGCTGTGTAGTACAGCAGCTCATTGGTGTCAGTGATGTTTGATGTAGAAATTACTTGCAGAGCTGCATTCAAATCTTCTAGTAGACATTCTAATGGTACTTGATTTAGTGTCTGCCAGGTGGACATTTTTGCCATGATCTTATTTTTCAGGTCAGTCACTGCTTCATTCAGCGTGGTTGTGCTTATTTGGGCATTGTACCCAATCTCTAGTGGCGGGTTGGTGTTAACTACCCTCTGACCTGGGGTTCTGGTTCCCCCTTCGCCAGAACAGCAGTTTTGTACCTCGTCAATCTCATGTTGTGAGTGCAGTTTATTTGGGTTTTTTATGGATGTTGGAACACTGAGCTACGAGTAGTTTTGCTGTGAGTGTGACCATTTCTCCCACATCCTTTGCATTAAGCCCCTCTGACTAGGGTTACTGGAGTAGTAGCATTCTAGCAGAGGCCTGTTCTCGCATCTCAACCATTTCTTTCTTGGACTAGGCCATTTTTCATCAAGGTGCTCTGGTTCTCCAGTTCCTGACCTTGTTTCGCTAGGCGACATTATCTATCTATCTATCTATCTATCTATCTATCTATCTATCTATCTATCTATCTATCTATCTATCTATCTATCTATCTATCTATCTATACATTGTTTTTACCTGCATACAGTGAAACAATAATGTACTTCACCTCAGAGAACACATCTTGCTCTATATAAAAAAAGAAGTTTCCTTAAAAATATTAGGTTCTTTATTATGCATTCCAGACAACTCTAGCTGATGTGACTTACGTAACTGCAGGTGAAAATACTGTAAAATCCTTAACATTGGATTATTTATTTACCATCTAACCTTCCTGATTTTAAAGGAGGAAATGACATATCTGCCTTTCATCTAATAGTAGGCAGGTGACTGAAGGTCAGGATTTGATAGTTCTACTTTAAGTAGTGACAAACTATGGAACTCATTATGGATAATGTTACACAGTTACATTTATCAGCCTAAGATTGTATGAAGAGAAAGCAGGGTACCTCAGTTTTTTGATCACAACATACAGCTGATAAGCTTCTTAATTTACCCTTTCATTGATCAAATGAATCTCCCTCTCCATGACAAGCGACCACCTACACTATTTATTCTGCTCATATACTACAGGTATATCTGAGGTATATACTGGCTCATCTGAGATGGGAAGGGCTCATAAGCCTGGAAATGAACTGATCTTACCACACTCCTTCACTGGTTCATCCGACCAGTCTTTGCAGTCCTTTACGTTATCGCAGACCTTGCTGCTGTCAATGCATTCCCCATTCTTACAGCGGAACTTTTTTGGCCCGTCACACCTTGTAACTGTAGAACAAAAAAAAAAGTTGTTTTTGGTTTGCAGGTTCTGTAATACCACACTGTTTAAGTTTCAAACATGCAGATTACAATGTGGATTACTAGATGTCTAATGTCCTTGAATATATATTACATTTTAAACTTCTGTGTGTGGTATATTTTACAATACATGAATGAAATGGCAATTCCTAGGGGGGAATAGAAGTTAAAGTGTCCTACAGGTTTATTTTGCTGCAGACAGCATACAGTAGTGTATAGCCAACACATACACAGTCTCTGTGCACATATAAATACACATTATATCCTGTACAGTTCTTCTAGATAGATGCAAACTACATTTCATTGTTTTGTATTTGTGACAGTGTAATGACAATAGAGTTGAATTCTATTCTATTCTATTCTATTCTATTCTATTCTATTTTATTCTATTCTATTCTATTCCAGTTTCTAAATTTTAGATAGATAGCCAAAGTTTGGAAACTTTTTTCTTGATTTTATTTGTCTTGTTTGGTTTAATATTTCTTATTAAAATGTTCATCATTTGTATAGAGAAGGAAATGACAAAACACAAAAATGTACAGCATTTTCATTTTGACAGCTTCCAAAAGTATTCATAACCCTTGACACAGATTTTATGGGTTGCATCTATAAATATCAATCCCAAGTCTCTTCAATAGACTGGATTTAAGTGTGGACTTTGCCTTGGCCATTTTATTGTGCAACAATTCTCTCTTTTTTGTGTGGTCATTGAAGTCCTGACTATTAATATAGTTTTGTTGTGTTGTTGTGATGGGAAGAAGTTTGTGGAAAAACAAATAAAAACTGCTGTATTTCTGGGTGTTGACACTTTTTTACCCCCCAAAAAACAAACATCTAAATTGGTCACGGAACCGCTTTATTTAGACTAAGAATGACTAACAGTTTGACTCTATTTGCTAAATGTTTGGCTTCTGAAGGCAATTGGCTGCATCTGATTTTACTGAATAAAAATAAATAAAATTTGAATAAAATTTCACTCATCTTCCACATCACATTTATGCATTAGGGATTGGACGATTTATGAAAACCGTCCGAACCGTTCGGTTCGACTGTCTCGGTTCGATTCGCGTGTGTTTCGTTCGGTTCATGCGCTGCTCCTTTTTCTCATAGGCGAAGCGTTTACACTCCCGAGCAGAAGGTGGCGGTACTGCGACCAAAGCCAACCACCAGTAGTAAACAAGAAGAAGAAGCAGCGAAGCAGCTTAGCTGGGTGTAGCAAGAAAAAAAATCAGTTGTTGTGGAGAATTGTGTGGGTATGGCGAGTGGTAAAGAACAGGAGTTGGAAGACGCGCCAGCAGCACTTTATAGGTCTGCTGTATGGGACCGCTTTGCATTTAGAGTGACCTACGATGACGGCGGAAAGAAAGTTGTGGATAAAAGTGCAACAGTGTGCAAGCATTGTGCAACACGTTTTGTTTATGCTAACAGCAACATGTCATGCTAACCCCGAAATCCCTCGTACTCCGTCAGCAACCCCCGCTCCACCCTGCTTTGACCGGCTGCTCAAAGCAAAGCATACAGCCTCCACTGTGACTCCCGTCCGCTCCCCTCTGAGTCCCTTGGAGATGGTAGAGAGCATGCGCAAGATGATTAAATGCAAAGCAGCAAAACATACGGAAATGATCCAGGGTTTCCGCGGATCATTTAAAATAATTACAATCCATTATTTTTGGGGTGATTTTTTCATTAATTCCATAAATTTTTATGGGATTTCGGTGTAACAATCAACATGTATCGAACCGAACCGAAAACCGTGACCACGAAACCGTGAATCGAACCGAACCGTGGATTTTGTGAACCGTTCCACCCCTATTATGCATTACTTCAAGTTATTATAAAGTCCCAAAACAAATACAGTAAGGTTTGCAGTATAATCCGGCAAGCTGGGAAAAAATTTTATTTTCAGAGCATTAAAGATTTATATGCTTTTTAGAGAAATTCACATGATCATTTGCTTCCTGTTACCCATAAAATAACTAAACAGTTTTAAGTGGATTAGTAAGATATTTATGGTATCGCTTTAGCACATTTCTTAGTCTAAAGGTGTATCCTGGGTACCTTCTCAGTAAATACTAAATATCAGATATTATTTTTCTACACTCCTAAATGTTATTACTTCAAGATTATCAAGCAGCAGAATCAAGCAGCAAAGCCACCTGAGATGCTTATGCAGCATATCCCGATGGAGCTCATTAAAAATATTAAAGCATTAAATGAAAAAATGTTTATGGTAAGTAAAGTTAAATCAAACAACTGAATACATTATGAAGAATTTTGCATGAAACCATAGTTTGTATTCCTGTTTGGCGAGAGGCTGTATTCAGTTTTATAGCAGAAACTGGATTTAAATCAAACATTTATCTAACTGGGAAGAGTGTGCGCATGTGATAAGTTACCGTTTACACAGCCAGCCTCGTCGCTGTAGTCTGGGCAATCATGGACTTTATTGCATTGTTTGGTGCCATGAATGCAGGAGCCGTCACCACACTGGAACTCATCAGGTCGACATGTTAGGAGGGCTGAGGTGCATGAACACAAAACAAGAGCACAAAGAGCAATTAGCTGAGTCTTAACATCTTTACTGCAGAAAAAAACATGGCTGGCTTGTTGAAGGTGTTCAGTTACGTGTTACATATGTTTCTTTTAAATGTCAACTTTGAGGGTTTTCCAATCTAAAATGAAGCAATATTCCCAATACCTGAACACAGATACCTTTAAAAGATAAAAGGAAAAAAAAAAAACCTATGTGCGCCATGAATGGAAGAGACCCACATCCAGTGAACCCCCGGAGAACGGTGGTGTTTCAATGTGCAAACGCAGATATTCGTTTGGTCTTGCTCTAACAACAAATAGAGCATTTATTCAACTCATTCATCTTTTCAACTGGCTCTTAAATTATTTATGTTCTGTGTTTTAGACCAGCTCTGCAAAAGCATGGAGGCAGACATGATCAATAAGTGTGGAGACTACAGAAAGTAGGCACCTGTAATGACTGTAATTACGAAGCTGGGGAAAAAAGCAGACAAAAAGCTGGACTTTAAGAGTACACATTAAGAAAGATAAAGCGAATAGACATAGTTTATTATCACAGAAAGGTGTGTTTACAATCCAGTGAATACCAAGGCACACTGACTCAAACCGTTCAAATAAAAATTCAACATGAAACCCAAATGTTAATCCTAAGCAAGCACAGAGTGCAAGAGATAATCCGGTTCCATCACAAAATGTGCTGATTCTCTTAGCCAAATCATTAAGATCTGAGCTCAGCTAATTATGATAATTCCTAAGGATGAATAGTAATGATAACAGATTGCCATCTGTGGAAGTGCTGGCAGCACAGAATATCAGCTTCCAACCATTCCTCATTTACATTAACCTCCCCTCACCCTTCTGACCATTACTTGTCACAAAATGTCTCTGAACTAACCCCCAAAAATATCGAGCAACCAATAAAAGACAAGTAGAAAGATTCCCTGAGAGGTGAAGGGGCCAAATAGACGGTACGTGATGAAGGCCACCTCTCTGTTTGACAATGAAATAATGCCACCGCCTAAACTACTCTAGTCTGATGTACATTACATAGACACTTCAAACCATTAAATCTTGTTTTACATAAATCTCCATCCACCCACATTCATGTTGTGTAAGAGCAGGAAAACAGATTTATACACGCGCAACACAACCACACCACATCAACCGTCATCTGAGCAAAGACATGAAAACCTCCTAATTAACAAAACATAACTTTATGATTATACAAAGATAGTTTTTGATTTAAGTTGATTGTTTCTTAAAATCACAAATCAAAACCAGTCCAATCTATTTTACAGTTTTGAATGTATTACTTTGTTAGAACCATGGTTTAGTAGATTTTTTGGGGATTTTTATTACATATTCAAAACTGAATATATGCTTAATAAATATGAAAAGATATGAAGGTTAAAGTTAAATTAAGTTAAGTTAAAGGCATGAAAGATTAAAAAAGACTATACATTTTTTTGTGACAAAAAGCAAAAAAAAGAACATTCAGGCATATGTTAGATACAGTGATGTGCTAATCTGGTTTTAATAAACATAATTTAAAACATTTTTTTTTTAAAACCACAAATTAGAAGTAAGGACTTCGTTTTGTAAAATTAGCAAAACCAAAGGACTGCATAATGCATGAAGCTGTGTAATGAAATTCTGTGTCAACTAACTAAGTCCTATGTTTCATTGTCAGATCTTAAAAACTCCTTTTTGTAATACCTGGAACAAGGCTAACTCCAGATGTTTTGAGTATCTTTTTGATTCTTAGCAGTTTGCAGATAAGTGGAGAATCCAACCTTCACGTGTCCGACTTTTATCATTGGGTTCTCCCTAGAATCTCACTACAAATTGACCGTAGATTTTAACCAGAGGGCTTCACAAACAGTATTTTTCAAGTTATAATATGCTTGTTTGGATATTTGTTGACAAGAAAGACACAGTGAAGAGCATTTACAATACCCTATCAGATTTTAGATAGACTCCTACTAGGCCCCCCATAAGGCTGTGTGCTTTCACCTCTACTGTTTATTCTATAAACATGTTTTAGAGCAGCCATAACGACAGATGTATTATGAAGTATACAGATCATTGCTTGTAGTCAGTCACCAGTAATGAACAAGTTTGTAAAATGGTGTGAGGAATCTTATATTTACCTTAAGACTAAAGATTTATAATTTTTGATTTCAGGAGAAAACCTAAGTACTAAACCCAATTATCAAAGATTAGGCCACCAAGATGTTTGTTTTAACAAAAATCTCTGGAATATTTTAGATAAACTGAACTCTGAAGCAGACTGAGAGGCATTGTGCAACAATGCCATCCTCAATCTCTTCTGCCATTTTATTATTATTAAGGCCAAACTGTAGTGACACTTTTTTTTTTATTCATCAGGTGGTGATCGATGGACAGCTCTGCCCCTCTCCTCACCCAAGTGTCCAAGTCTTGTGGCTGAAGGTTCCAAGATAAGACTATAAAGTCGATCATCGACCTCCGGCTTACGTTATGCTTGAAAATGGTCTGAATTATGGACAATCAGAGGGTTGCAAAGAAGTCTTGTTATGAAACACCATTCATGTTCAGAACTTGGGGTCAGTTCCTTCCAATTGGGCCCCTCCAGGTGTCACTATCGTTTCCCACGTTTACATTGAAGTCCTTATCATATGTATTTACATTTTTACACTCTTACTGAAAAAGGGGTGTATTGATGGAATATAAAAAAATGATTAGACAATATCTAACAACTTAGGTGTATAAGCAAGACAATAAGTTCTTCACCATTCCACTTATGTGTTTATCTTAAGTATTTGAATGTGCATGCAAATCAGCAACCTGTGAGAACTGATACGTTCTTTCCGCAATGCTGCTTTCTGCACTCCTGATTAGTCTTAGTTTTGTGCAAGCATTCATCACTGTGCTGGTATCATGTCTTACATACGAAGCCGCTGTGATCTCACTGAGTGGTGTGTGGGAGTGTGAAGAGGAGACCAGATGGGGTCTCGCTGGATGAAGGACCCTCACTTCCCACTCACACACGTACACACACACACACACACACACTCAGAAAACACATACAGTTGAACGTGACGCTCCTCTTCAGTTTGTGAGGATCACATGGTTGCATAGCAACACTCTCAGGGATCATTGTGATACAGTTAGCAGTGATATTCCTTCAGTCATTTGGTGGCACATTTGTCATCGGTCTTTGTTCACGATTAATTGAAGGTGAGTCTTTGATGTGCAGCCATCCAGTGAAGGAAAGTGACGCACATGCACTGTTCCATAACATGTCATGTACTCCTACTGATATCACATCTATACAACAATGGATTTCCCTTCAAAGAGAGGCTGTGCACTGAGCAGATAAATTACATTTTAACACTACATTTGAAGAACATAATCTGGAATTAGAAACATCATGAAGATGTGTTACTTCAAAATGCTTCACTGGCATCAGAAAATATCTTCATGAAAATAGAACAATGATGTATGCGCTGTTCTAAAATAAACAATATAATCTTTTTATTTAATAAAGTTAGCCTTCAGTACTTGGACTATTTCATTCATTTTTCTAACTACCCAAAACAGCGCTGTCTGCTGGCGTGCCTGGGGGAATACTATATCATCCTGTGGCAACACAGACAATTGTTGTTAGTAGAATAAATTTGGTCTGTGAGAGATTGTTTGATAGCAATTATAACGACAACATCAGCATCCTTTTATCATCCGGCTGTATTCCCCATTCATTTATCAACCCACACATCAGTCCAACTACGCAAACACTGATACAGCCACAGCTGACTTACGACAGTTTGCTTCATCTGATTTATCTTTGCAGTCTGCATCTCCGTCACACATCCAATGCATGTGTACACACTCTCCACTGCCGCACTGAAACTCCCCAACTGGACATCGAGGTTTCTGAGGCTCCGTCCTGCGGCTGCAGCGCTCCATGGATTCGTCCGATTTGTCTTTACAGTCTGGATCCCCGTCACAGCTCCACAGGGCAGGGATGCATTCAGAGTCATTACAACGAAACTCGTGTTGACCGCAGCTGGGAGTTGAGCACTTCTCCTCATCACTGGCATCCCCACAATCATCATCACCATCACAGACAAAAATGGGGGCCACGCACTTTCCGTTACGGCACTTGAAATCTTTGGAGGGGCAGGCCTTTTCATCTAAAAAAAAAAAAAAAACACAATGGAAGAGGGAGATAAATAACAGTGATATCTAATTTTATATAATCAAGTAGAATGTATTCAATTATTTAATATCTATTTAGCAAAATATTACAACCTGCTAATAATTTGAGAAACATGGAGCAACAATATTTCGTTTGTAAATATTAGTCTCTTTTCCATAGCGTTTTTCAACACTTATTTATCTGGGTAAATGTACTTTCCTGGGGCTTTTTTCCCTGTAGAGCAGTATTTTTTAAACCTGGCCCTCAAGGCATACTTGCCAATTATCTTGGATCTCTCCCAGTTTTCACGCACCCGATATCAGTTGATAGCAGATTAACAGGGTTTGTTGAACTGTAATTACTTTAATCAGGTGTTTTGAAGCAGGGAAACACCTAAAACTTGCAGGAGAATGCACCTTAAGGACCAGGGTTGAAAAAAACTGCTTTAGATACATTACTTTCTGGGCAGTTGATGGCTGGTTTGTACAGCTGCAATGCTCTGTTCCACCAGCTGCGGCTGTAACCGATTAGTGTCAAGTACAAATGTTTTTTTTAATAGTGCATGCTTGTCATGAAATGCATTTTAAGATGTTTTTTAAGCAAGAAAGTACAGCTCAAAACTTAATCTGTGCAGCCAGCTTACGTATTTAAAAATAGCCTCCTTTTAAATCTTTGTAGAAGCAGCAGAGCCAAAAACAAAAACTAAGTAAAAGAAACTTAAGCAATCAATCTGTGTTCATCAGTTGTTGTATCCAAAGGGACTGAAAGCTTGATTCTAACAATACTTATAGAATCAGTCTTAGTTCTGTATTAGACTCCACAAAATTGTAATTCATTCATTGTGCATTGTTTTCCCATTTTAATCCCTCTTAAAACGTGTAGTCTATGGTAATTTCCCTCCATGACAGTTAAAACACCATTACCTTGTATGGAAGTATTAAATGCACCATTTTTTGGGGTCTAAATTTGCAATACGGTTATACATAATTTCCCCAGAAATATGCAAATTGTAACTGGTACCTGCTACTTGTTCCTACTTAACTGATAAAATCACATTTTTTGCAAAGCCAAAATCCTCTCCACCCCTCTGTCCCTGGATTGTTTGCCAACCCTACATAATGGTGACTGTTAACCAATTAGGTAACTCCTGAAGGAATTTATTTGAACTGGATTCTTCCAAAGGGGAAAGGTACTGAATATAAATACGTGTAACACTTTACAGGCTTTTATTTGTGAAGATATTTGAGAACCATCAAATGGAGTAACTTTAGATTTAACAAAAAATTATTATTTCAAATTTAATTCTAGTGCACAACTCTTTTGTGCTGAAGTGTTTGGGGGAATGAATCTGGAAATATGAGAGTTAGCATATAGATTGGCCTTATTCAAATTCTTCGAATCATAAGGAATGCTACACATGCTGCACCATGCCTTTCCATGCTTCTCTGAAGATAAGGATAAAAGCGGGTGCTGCTCTTAAAAATCTATCTTTAATGAGCAGAGTACAATCGGAAGACTCCTTTTAGCTTTTGAACTTTTGCGTTTGTGAGTTAAAGAAGGAGTTTGGTTGAAAGCAAGACATGTTAGATATTCAGCCAAACTCTAACAGAACAAAAAGAGAAAGGTAAAAACGAAACAATTTCAATATCCAAGACGAAATAACAACTAAATAACCATTATAATCAAACAACAGCTAAATACATATAACAAAATAAAGGAAAACTCTTCTGACTTTAAAAATAGAAATCTTAATCCGACTCTGTATGTATATCTGATCAAAAAACAGGAAAATAATGCCAACTGGATTTAGCATCAGGAAAAGAGCATTTGCATCAAAACAAGAAATGTGAAAACATTACAATACAATGAGTCTAATCTAACCTTATCCAGTAGAGCTTTGGCATTTTTTCGAAGAAATATGGATTGAGAACAAATATTCATTGTTGTCTGATTAAGTATTTTAGACTTTGCTTAAGTTTTCCTTACAAGAAATTCATTTTGTTTCCCCCACATTAAAACAGCCCTGACCAGTTTTACAAAAGCCTCTTTAATAATAGCACTATTTATCCTTTACCTGGCAACTGTGGGACTCATTATGATAACAGGCAATTCAATTTCTTGGTACCTATTAGAGCTAGCATGCTTATCACCCCCGCACAAGTCAAAGGGATTTAATTATCATGTCATTTAGATCAGCATCGTCGTCTCAGGAGTTTGTGCAAAAACACCCCCAAATATCAAAAGGTGGTTTTTGTATGACAAATATAAACATACTTAATTAATTCCACCACTGACTTGATATAAAAACTAAAGTCAAATCATTATATTTTTTAAGGTTTGAAGGAGCTTTTCATTGCAGTAGATTGGGTTTATTCCAGTTTTTGCCATAAAATAATAAAGCATGGACAAGAAGCTTAACAGTGTGGTTTTCACTGGGAAACATAATTACAAGAGACAAGAATCTGTTTGTTCATTGTAAAGAAAATCAGTCAAGAATTGATTAATTGTTGTCTTTTAATATCAGATCAAATTTTTAAAACAATATAATTAGACAGGCACTTGTGTGCAAAGTTGGTATTTTAAATTAAATAAATTATGAAAAAATACAATTGAGTAACATGCTTACAAAAAACCCTTTTGCTAACATTCTTACAACATAAATTTAAAACAATTGTATAGTATGTGTATATAAAAAAATATAAAAAAAGAAAAAATATATATATATATATATATATACACATATATAAGACTGGATTAAAACAAAATTTCATTACGTTTATTAAGCAGTCCAATTTCATGAGTTAGATGCAGAGTGTTACATTTTGTTCACTCGAAGATGTAAGTACTAATCTGTTTTCAGTAGATGTTATTTGTAAAACTTCATAACTTAAAGTCTACCGTTATTCAGTTCAATTGCAATTCAGTTTATCTATATAGCACAAATTCACAACACATGCCATCTTAAGGCACTTTACAGAGACAAATCAACCAGATCATACAGTCAGACTGGTTCAAAGTTTTCTACCTAAGGAAAATCAGTTGACCACATCGACTCAAAGGCAATCCCTCACACTAAGCATGCATGTAGCAACAGTGGAGAGGAAAAACTCCCTTTTATTAGGAAGAACCAACCGGGCTCAGTGTGTCGGCCATCTGCCGAGGCCGACTTACAGATGAACTGATTAATCCAGGTGTATCTGGCCATGGTTAGTGAGGTAAGACACACCTGGATTAATCAGTTCATCCAATAGAAAGTTGCCTTAAGTTCCCGAAGTAGTGAAGTTATGCATAGAGCCAACTTACAACCAAAAAGTAGAGGCATAAAATAATTTAAGGAACTATGGTTGAAATATCCGAGATATAAAAAGTACACAAAATGAAATACTGATGCATTTTAAATCCAAACACAAACCATGAAAAATGCTTTTGAAATAGCTTCTTAGCTAAAAGGTTGCTTTTACTTTTACCACCTGGAATGAAAACTAATTGAAAATACCCAAAATAGCCTAGTCTCCTAGTTTTAAACATTGGAACAGCAAGTTCTATAGCATGCAAACTTTCAGGTGGTATTTTTCTGCAGCAACGATGCAAAGTGAAAATGAAATGTCAATAACCCAGTGGTACTTAAATTCTTTACTTTTGTCCTTGATCAATAAATAGGTTTTGCCTGCAGGTACCCAGAGGATATAGCCGGTGGAAGATTCATCAGCAGATGTACTAATGTGTATTTCCTATCACAAGAGACCTGATCCACAGATCAGTAAAATGATTTGACAGGCAGTACAGACATGGAGAAAAAAAAGCATTTCAACTAGAGAGATTGTGGTGAGCAAAATATGTATCTGAGCTGAACATAAAAACATTCATTCTGTTTATATTCCTCATAATTAATTTGTGCATGTTAAATAATTTCTAAGAAAATAAAATGATCAAAAGTCATATTCCTTTTCTGTAATACCGTTAAAGAAACAAATGTCAGAGGACTTACACATTGATTTAGAGCACTGCTCCTGACTGGTAATGAAGGACATGGCTAATTTAATTTATTCCAATATTAAATAGTAAGTAATCTTGACCTGATTACATCTGGACTTTAACCTTTCCTCTTAGGTGTTTCAGTTTAATTTGGGATCAGAGTTCTCTATCAATGCTGGCCCAGAGACACAAATAGATAGCTAATAGATTGCAAATGCTCACTCACCCTTTGAAGGAAGATTATTGAACTCATGTCCAGTATGAACAACACAGCACAATTGTTATGCATACATTCGTCAAGGACAAACGATGCACCCTTCTAAACCATTCAGTGAATTAGAATGTGCTTTATGTTAAGGCTAGTCTGTTTGATTAAAAGTACCTTTTGAAAAAAAGACAACATTAAAGTATTTTTGATTTTTCTTTTTTTTATTGGTATAATGTAATATTCGAATCCTAATTGTTGTGGTTTCATTAGCTATGAGAGAAAAATGCTTATTTATACTACATACTAAGTTCACAAAATAAAGGCTTGAAAACAACAGTCTGTGTTTAATTAATCATATTTGTTTTTAAGTGGTGAACTGAATTAAAGAAATAAACTTTTCAGTTATATAGTCATTTATTTACTGCATTTCTACACAGAATAAAAACAAATATGGACTCTACGATTCAGTAGTTTTAAGGTTTCTGTAGTGAGAGAAATCCAATAAGATTATGGTCTAACATGTCAGGCAATGAGCTGTGAGTACATGTAAGCATGCAGAGGCTTCCCAATGCACACATCAACAAAGCAAAGCATCACAGAAGGGTCGGTACAATTAATCACATTTTAACAAAATGCAATTTTCAAGATTGCAGAAGCAATTAAAAAAAGTAAAACAGACTTTCTCACTCCAGCCCTTCAGGTGGCAGTAATATGCTTAAAGGAGGTTTGGGCCACACAGGTGGGAATAGTAAGAACTTTTCCACACAGTAAAACGGTGAAGTCCTGCAACAGCAGAATCTGGAGAAGCAAGT